TCCTTCCTTCTTTCTTTTCTTTCTTTCTTTTTTTTTTTTTTTGAAATAAGGTCTGCCACCCTAGCTAGAGTAATTCATTGTAGCTCATTGCAGCCTTAGACTCTTGAGTCAATCTGTCCTCCTGCCTCAGCCTTCTGAGTAGCTGTAGGCCCACTCTGCCATGCCTGATTGTTTCTTTCTATTTTTTGTAGAGATAGAATCTCGCTGCAGCTCATGCTGAGCTTAATCCTCCCACCTCAGCCTAACCTAGACAAGACCTTGGCCGTTGCTTACTTAGGTGATAGGGCTGTAGGCGTGACCACCACACCTGCCTGTGTCTGTTTTTTCTAAGAATTTTATCACAGGTAGACATACTGGTTTGTAACCAATTTTTTTCACCTGTCTAGGTCAGTACAAATAATAGAAGCTCAGTAAGTACTTATTTAATGAACAGTTTCCTTGTTACCAAATATATTTCAGCATCTGTGTGTGTGTGTGTGTAGGGGGGCGGGATCTTGCTTCATTGCCAAGGCTGGAGTGCAGTGGCCCAGTCATACCTTACTGCAGCCTCAAACTCATGTGCTCAGATGATCTTCCCATCTCAGTCTCCCAAGTAGCTGTTTCTACACACACACACGATACTCATTGTTTCAATGGTTGTTTAATATACTCTATCTTGTGGACATACTGTCATTTAGCTGATCTTCCACTGCTCAGTATTCAGGCTACTCATTTAACACAGTCTGACCATGCACACCTCTCTGGCTCCATCCATCCCCCCTCCTACTCTTTACCTTGGTAGTATTTGGTCTGTGACGCTTCCAAAGCCTCATCTTTTCTTGTTGACATGTGCAGTGCTGTCCTTCTACTCACCAGATACTCCCCACTTTGTCTAGCAAATACACAGTTTTTGAAGCCTGAGCTTAGACATTCCTTCTTGGATGTTTTTGTAGACTGGATTAGATGTCCCTCCAATGTGCTTGATAGGTATATTTTGTACTTATTCCTAGAGAAACAGTCTGCTTTATTTTGTTTGCATGCTTTTCTAAGCATATCTCCCACTAGACTATGAAGTCCTATTTATTTCCATCTGTCTTATTTCCAGTTGTATTCCCTAACCCAGTGAAATGCTTGATACATAGCAAGAATATAGTAAGTTTGTTTGTTTGTTTTTGAGACAAAAGTCTCAATATATTGTCCTCAGTAGAGTGCTATGGCATCACAGCTCACAGCAACCTCAAACTCTTGGGCTTAAGCGATTCTCTTGCCTCAGCCTCCCAAGTAG